GCTTTCCTTTATTATAAAATAGAGTAATTTTAATTTGATTAATTTTAATTTAATTTAATTTAATTTTGTAATTTTAATATAATTTTATAGAACAATTATTTCCTTTATTGTTTTTGTTTTTATTATAAAATGGTTCTTATATTCTGCTCTATTCATTTATTTATGCCATTTGCTTCTCCATGCATTATTTCCTATTATTCTATTTATTCTTCATTCACGTATTTTTCCATCTATTCTAATTTACCTAATACGTCCATTTACCTTTTAACAGAAGACGTTGCCCTATTCACTCATTCATTTTTAATACTTTTAATTATATTTATCTTTACTAAAATTTAAAAAAAAAATAGAAAATAAAGTTACATATCAAATTTAAAGAAGAGAAAATGCATTTATGTAAATTTTATTGTAACTTAATTCTTATTGTGTGTAAAATTAGATAGTAAAATTATATTTTATCCTAAAATAAATTATACAATGTTTTTACTGCAAATAATGTTAAATTTTACAAATTTAGTAAATATAGATCTGCAACTCTCGACAATTTCTGGACAGCTATGCAAACTGCCCATGATAAATTGCCAATCCAAAAGAAAAAAGAATTTAGTATAGCACAGATGATGAAGGCTTGGACAACGAAACATCATTATCCTATACTGAAGGTAAAACGACAATCTGGATGTGAAGAATCTTGTCAAGTGATAATATCACTAGAAGATCTCGATACGTCGCATCGTGATAGTTGGTGGATACCAGTAACCATTACTACGGAACATGAACAAGATTTTGACTCCCATTCTCACAAATCGTGGTTAATTCTTACGCAAACGCGTCTTCCATTTCTCGTATTGCATATGCTGCATTTTGGAAGATATAATTGGATAATAGTCAACATACAACAAGCTGGTAAATATTACTATTGCCGGTATTACATTGATGAACATGTATTTTATATATATATATATATATATAAAGTGTAGTATAAGTTTACATACTATTCGTATTATTTTATAAATATATATCAAATATATATATCAATTATAAAGAATAAATACAGAAGTATATAAGTATATATTATATGTATACCTCTGTATTCATTCTTTATAATCGATATATATTTATATTTGAGTATTTATAAAATAATACGAATAGTATGTAAACTTCTTATACTATACTTTATATAAATATATAATAATGTATCATTTATATAAAATATGATATAAAATATTTTGCTACTGAATGTAAATTTAAATAAGTTTTACTTTGTGCATAATTTGATCAGAATCAACTTCCAAATAAAAACAGCCAGAATTAACTTCTAAAATATAAAATTCATTGCGCAACTTAATTTTTCACAAAATTAGTCACTTATCGTCGTAAAAAATATTTATTTATAATTTATAACTTATAATTTAAAATCCTGTTTATATAAATGGCGCATTTTCTAATAAAAGAAAATTTTTAGAGAAATTTTCATATTCAATAATATCTTTTGATAAATCCAAAAATTATATATAAAAAATTATACGGCTGATAATTTATATATATTACTTTCATGATAGGATATTATCGTGTCAATTACAATATCGAAGATTGGGGAAGACTTGCGACATACCTGAATTCTGAACAATATATGAAAATACATGTTCTCAATCGCGCTAAACTCATCGATGACTCGTTTCATCTTGCCGTAGCAGGCAAACTTAGTTACAGTATATTCTGGAATATCTCGAATTACCTACATCAAGAGAAAGACTACATAGCATGGTATCCCATGTTCAAAGCTATTGAACATATGTCAAGTATCTTCCCATTTCCCACAGGAACAGTCAGAGAAATTAAGGTAAATAGTTAGATTTCAGCAACAAATAAATTTCATCAATAAGAAATATAAAGCTGTTTATATATACGCGTTGCATTATATATAAAACATAGTTATTTATATAAACACAAGATTATATATAAAGTTGTTTGAAAAATATATAAATATACGCATAAAAAACTTTAACTATTTTTTAACTATATTTAGAGAAGAATAAACGATATGTTGAGTGGACTGCTTGCACAGATAGGATATCAGGAAAATCCTAATGACGATGATCTTACTAAGTGTTTGAGACAAGAGGCCGCAAAATGGGCATGTACTCTCGGTCTTCCCGATTGCATAAATACAGCCCGACGTCAATTGCATCAGTATATCTTTACTAAAAACTTCAAGTAATTTTTCTTATAATCATTTTAAAGATAATATCTTTTTGATATCTTGCGTATAATTTTTTAAACTATTATTTAATCAATATGCACGCAAGATTGTAAACTAAAATTTGTATCAAATTCTTTTTGTACCTTTTTGGGATGTTTTAGACTTTTGCCATGGTGGAAAGAATGGACAGTCTGTAATGGTGTAATGACAGTGACTAACCAAACCTATTGGGCCGAGATAATTTCTTTCGGACACGAAATACACATAAAATACAACGGAAACAATATACCTCAAAAAAGAGTTACAATTTTCGAATGTGGCCTGACTTGCATTAAACATACTCCAATTGTTTCCCATGCAATGAACAGCGCTCGAAATGGACGTGTATTAATTCATTATACCCTGCGTATTAATATTCTTTTTAGTATTATTAGAAAGCATGTACAAAATAATGAAGTGCTTGATTTCATGTTATCTAATATTGAAAGATTTAAACATAGGTAAAATAATATTCTTTATTAGTATATATTCTTAATCATTAAAATTTATTATATATATTAATTATAATTTTATTCTCTCTCTCTCTCTATTTGTCTAGAAAAATTAAAGCATACACATTATTAAATCATATTATTAATAATGTGTATGAGGTGGAACAACTTGATAAGGTAAATTTTATAAATCCGTATAAAACATATTAACCTCTTGTAATTAATTAATTATTTCAATTTAATTCATATAGTATAATTTTTAATTATATTAATTATGAAAAACTATAAGAATATTATATTCTACCAGTAGCGTAAGAATATTATCGTGAGTATTATCTTTCATAGTACATAATATCGAAATAATTTGTTTTAGATACGCAAATTCGTTGCTAATAATAAAAGAGAAGAATGGAAAGAAAAAATTATGGATGTTGAACATAAGTTAAAGATACGTTGGTCTCAAATTATGCGCCAGCAATACTATTCTGCAATATTTTTATGATCAGATGAAGATAATTAACCAATCATAAATGATCATTTAATCGAATCAACAAAAGATAGCAATTGTTGTATACATTTATTTATATTACGAATTGGTTTTCATATTTCTTTTTTCTACTCTTATTTTTAATTACTACTGTATTTTTTTATATTAATCATTTTTATTGTTTTCTTCTATATAATTTTCTTTTAGTTATGTTTAATATTTTTAATATTATTATTAATATCTATATACAATTTTAATATTAATTATAATATTTTTATTTTGTTATTAATTTCTTATATATGAGTTGTAATATTAACAATTATTATTAATTGTTTCAATAATAATGACCAATATACAATTGTTAATAATAACTGTAAATTTTAAGCGAGACTGATAAATATTAAATTTGATATTAACGTATTATATTAATATTTTTAATATTAATATTACTTATTTTGTATTAATATTAAAATTGTTTTAATAGAAAGTTTATATATTTATTTTATATGTATGTTTAATATGTGTTGATTATTAATAAATTAATCAATTAAAATTTGTAATATAATTTTTTCTTTTATAGTAAATTCGTATGGCCATTCTATCTGTATCTAAATTATATTTTTATAGACATTTTTGTAATCATAGTTTTATTTTCAACACAGTTTTTATTTGATACAATTATAATTGTTCAATAAACTAACGCTAAAATTGTCAGCTAGTGACAACACTTTTTCCGAGACAATGCAGAAAGCTTTTTCAAATTATATTTATGTTATATGTGATATAAAAAGTCAATCACATTATATTACTTATTTCATATGTGATTCGGCATGACTATTAGAAAATTCTTGATTCACATTCGTGTTATAAATTTTATATATTCTTTTAATATTAAGATATCAATATAATAAAATTTAATTGGGAAAACTGTAACGGTAACTTATTATTTTTCTTCGATTTATTAAGATTACGCAAATTTGTCTTGGGAAATAAAAATTCGAAAAAAAATAATAATAGATTATATAATTTTTAACTGATAGGTATGAAACGAAAATAAACTTTATTATTTTTCAAATTTTAACTTTAAAGCTATATTTAAAGATAAAGTTATTAATGTATACTTTCGTCAAATTTAATATAAGCTTATAATTTTTCAAAAAATTTATCTCTACGATATTATTTTATGATTTTCGATCATTCCATGCATATTATATCCATACAAAATATTTACGCAATATTGTAATTGCGTTTTGCAAACTGCCTTATTCGATATATTACATATAATTGCAATACTCCTTTTCATTTCAAAATCTTGTAAAAATTATTTTCCATACAAAAATTTCAATCATTATGTAATGATTATTCAAATTGCTAGTGAAAAGGAAGGAAGGGATTTAAATCGATAGAAGTCTATTCTATTTCTCTCTTCTCTCTCTTACATTCGCAGTTTCGCTATTCAAAATTAATAAAAACATTTCATAAGACTCACCGTAGATGCGTAGATAATCGGGTTCACTGCTTAATAAGGAGATTTCCTCGGGTGACTGTATCGATGCGATAATATCGTGTCTCCATGTTGATTAAGAAGACGGCAATCTCGAAATGCAGCTGCGAGATCTACGCAAATATATATAAATTATTCATATCAAATACTAACACATCGATATTACCATCGCTGAAATTACATACCAAAGATTATTCGACTAACTATTGAAAAGAATCACGAAAACGAGACACGTCTGATGCGTGGCGATCCTCGTCCTGTTACATTTCGAATAGTACGTTAAAGGCGCGAAATTCGCGCCGGATGATCGCGAAGTCGTGCTAGTTTAAATCGTTTCGAAACGCGAACTGCGTGCCCCCTCTTAGCACGATGGCGCACGATGTAAAGTAAATAAATTCTATCTTTCCCTCTCTCTCTCTCTCTCTTTCTCTCATACATTTCCAACTTCGCTATTCAAAATTAATAAAAACTTTTGATGAGACTCACCGTAGATGCGTAGATAATCGACTTAATAAGATTTTCTCGGGCGATGCGATTGTATCGATGCAATAGTATCGTATCCCCATATTGCTTGAGAAGACGATAATCTCGAAACGCAGCTGCGAGATCTACGCAAATATATGTAAATTATTTATTAAATACTATCGATATTACCTTCGCTAAAATTACATACCGTAGATTGCTCGACTCATTATTGAAAAGAATCACGAAAACGAGACACATTTGTCGCGGGGCGATCCTCGTTGATCCTCGTCCTCGTCCTGTTGCACTTCGTACAGTAGACGTTGAAGGCACGAAACTCGCGCCGGATGATTGCACAGTCGCGCTAGTATCGCTAGTTTGGGCTAGAGTCCCTAAAGATATCTTTAGGGACTTTAGTTTGGGCTGATCCGAAACGCGAACCGCATCCCCTTCTTTCTTAGCATGATAGCGCGCGGTTTTTGAAAACAGTATGATAAACGATCTACTATTAAATAAAATGTAGTAGATGTTACGTAACGTGGGAGCATTGTTGTAAATAATAAATGAGTTGTATGTTAAATATTACACAATTCATATATTGGTGTCCTAAAAGATATCTCAAATACTTAAAGCTTTATCAATTAATATAACATAATTTATGATTGCCTCTTCAACGTATAAGTACATACAATTGTTCATAAAAGTTATTAAATAATTTTTATCATTTATTTATCTGATAATTTCAAATTGTTTGAAGTTTTATATATATAATGTATGTATATATAAGCCTTATAAAATTTCTGAATGCATCCTATTCCTATCCCTAAACATACGGCAAATAAACATAAAAGCGAAATGGCTGCTGCCAGTGATAAGTAAGTAAAGATGTGATTTGTATTCGTTAGTGCATATATGGATTAATTAAACATTTTTTTGCCACGATAAGCTGATGAGATGATACGTTTATTTACAGATTAGAAGATTGCGAAGTATGCGGCGCGACGAAAGCTAAATACACGTGTCCGAAATGCGAGGTTAGAACATGCTCCCTCGTGTGTGTAAACCTACATAAGAAGGAATTAGATTGTAATGGAATCCGAGACAAAACAAAGTTTATTCCTATAGCGTCGTTTGCCGATTTGGATTTGCTAAGCGGTGAGATATTTTTTCTTTTCTAAAGTTTTCTCTTATTGCGGAAGGGACTGGAGGCTTTAATATCTAACTGATATTTTATAGATTATCGTTTTCTTGAGGAAGTTGGCAGATTAGTTGATACAAAAAAACGAAATCCAGAAAAGAAATATATACGTCAATTTATTCTACCAATGGTAAAATATTTTTTATATACATATACATATATATGCTATTTTTACAAGAACATAGCAAAATTATCATCCTCTCTTTTCCAGCACTTACATAAACTGAGATGCGCTGCATCTTACAGAAAAACATCGTTGTTATTTATGCCAAAAATCTTTAGTCGACACAAAGAGAATACCACGTTTCTTAATTGGAAGACCAATGAATTATTCTGGCGAATAGAATGGATTTTCCCACAAGCTCAAAATGTAAAATGGGTTGTGGAAAGGTATAGATAAATATAATTATCTTGAAAAATGTAAATAGTTTTTGCACGATGAGCAACAATTCATAAATATTCTTTTTACAGAACATCAGACAATGCAAGATTATCGACACTTGTAGAACAGGTTTTAGATCCAATCTCTTCAGAAAACGAGACTGATATTGAAAAATTAAATGTAAAATTGGCTTTAGCTGATAAATTACAATTTTATCGAGCAGCTGGACTAACTAGTATCAAAGTTCTCTTAAAAGCTGAGAAAGTAAAGAAAGCAAACTTTAAGTAAATAAACATACATTATTACATCATTTTATAATGCACAATTTAAAATATACAAAATTTTTAGTAAAAGATCGAAATTTTTTAAATAATTTCAATAATTGTTTTCTTCCAGATTCTACGATTTAGATTTAACACTTACACTGAAAGAAAATTTGGAAAATAAGACTATAGTGGAATTTCCGACATTGTATGTCATTATGAAAGATCATTCTGATATGTATGAAATTGTAGATACTGGTAAGTATTGTATACAATTACTATATTTATATTTTATTTGCATTAGAAAATCTTTATGTGGGCATAAAATCTTGTAGATGAGGAAACAAGTGATACAGAATGTAAAAGTCTGGGAGTAAGAAAACGAAGAAAAAATGAATTTATTAAAAAAGAAAATGAGCCAATAAATTACTTCTTCAATGATTTTTCGGGATCTGATGATGAAAAATTAGATAACAAACAACAAAAAAAGGAACATTCACCTGAATTGGATATACCTAATTACGAAGAATTATAAAAGTTGTGAATTCATATACGTAGAATATAAGAAATATTGATTTATATATGATCTTTATTGTAAATATATCTTTCACCATTATAGTTATGATATAATTAAAACACATATAAACATAATGACGTGAATGATCGTATTATATAGTTAATAATAGATATCTTTTTAAATTCATTAATTCAATACTTCACAAAAGATCACAAAAGTTATATAACTTAACAAATATGTAGAAATGGGACAAATACAGTGATCCTTTTTTAATCAGAGGAGAGATAAAATATATAACATTCTATTTCTCTCTTGTATATTTAAGAAATGTATTTTTATCAAAGTCAATAATTTAGAGGCAATATAATATTACTTTAAACAAACTAAAGAGAAAAAAGTATATTACAAAAATATTATATATCTTAAAAATAATCGCATATATCATCTTGTTTTTTTTTTTTTATAAGACCTTTTTTAATCAGAGGAGAGATAAAATATATAACATTCTATTTCTCTCTTGTATATTTAAGAAATGTATTTTTATCAAAGTCAATAATTTAGAGGCAATATAATATTACTTTAAACAAACTAAAGAGAAAAAAGTATATTACAAAAATATTATATATCTTAAAAATAATCGCATATATCATCTTGTTTTTTTTTTTTATAAGATTATTAAAACGAGACTCTCGAACAGAAATATGATGTAGTAAAAATTCTATATATCTATTCATTTATACATTATGACAAAATTTATTAATTTTGTTTTTGTCATTGCGCAGTGTTAAAAAATTGAATATTTTATAATTATATACTTTAAACATAATTTACTCTATTATACTTTTATAAACATAATTTTGATATAAATTACTTTAGATACATTGGTACAGTTACATTTCCGAGACTTTCAGTTTAACTTTTTTCTTTTTTATAAGTATAAACGGATATTAGTCATAAATATTGTATAATTATGGATGAGATGAGCAAAATTTTTCTGTCCTTGGAAATGAAATATCTTTGATAAATATTCTAAAACAATCTTTTGTCTGTATTGTTTAACTAGAGAATAAAGAAATACAACAGGAATACCAAAAATGCAACAAGGCCAGCAACAGCTTTCACATACATTGATTTGCTATTTAGATGTTTCGCGTCTTTTTTATACTTTTGCGACAGCATGGATAGATTTTGTGTCTTTGTATCCAATTCTGTATAAGTATATAATTAATGATATTATATAAAATGCACATAAATACTTACATTCATATTTTTAATCTCAGAGCATAAAATAAAATAAATTTAATATAAATGTAGAATATTACCTGAGAGTACGGTACCCCTTTGTAAAACATCATCAATATTTTGTACCATGATTCTTTGCACATCTTGTAATTGGCTGTTAAGGGTATTCAAATTCCTACGTGATCTACTGTCTGAGAAAATCTTCTTAGCTTTCTGGATATATGTATCTGAAGAATAAATAAAATAAAGTATGCAGTAGCGCTATATTCAATAACATATTGTCTATTACAACATACCAAATTCAATGAAGGTATAAGGCCTAGTTACTGTATTTACACGTTTACCATATTGAACATGAAATTCTTGCGCAATATCTTCCAGATAATTATATGCTATACGTGTACTGTAATTTCTTTCGCATAATACCAAATAACATACTTCATTTTCAATTAAATAACTGTAAACGAATTGCACGATGTAAAACATATATAAATCAATAATATACTATCAATAATCATCGCTCACTGGAAAAGATAAGGTCCAGTTTCTAGAGTGCATCTTGTAGGAGACTGTGGACCTAGTTTTCTAAACAACATCTTTGCTTGGTTCTGATACTCTACAATATTTTTACCATCCTATAACAAAAAAAAAAAAAAAAAATTGTTCAATCAATTAAGTTTATTCAAGAGAAACAGATTTTTGCTCCGAGTTTTTGTTCGCTCGCGTCGAAATAAATTTAAAGGCTTCATGAATAAAGAGAAACTTTTATGTACGCAATTACGCTCTCCTTAATGAGAATTGACCGCGGAGTCAAAGTGCGAAATCTCGGAGTGAAATGACATTTCATCATAACATATTTCTAACCTGTTCGTTATCCTGCATGGTGGCCGCCAGCGGCAGGCCGTCTGCTACCCTCGCGATTATCGTAAACAAGACCATCTTGTCAAGATTTTATCACCGATTTTCGTACGAGACGGCAGAGAAAAAATTTTTATTACAATTCGTCGCACAATTCTGCGACCTCCACAGGCCATTCGCGCGAAACTAATCGCCGATGTGGCCGGATTCTCGTCCACTCTCGACGTACCACGTCAGTCGATCGGTCGATCGATCCCCGTGCAAATTTCCATCGGACGGGAAATCGGCAATCCCCTCGTTCGATGACGATCATTCTTATTTGACCCGAAATAAAATAAAACGAAAGAAGGAAAACGCTTTGCTTGCTTGCATATTATTTTTCAAACCTTGAATCGGACAGTGAATGCACTTTCGAAAGGTGCATACGTGTCCGCTCGTGGCGGGAAACTCGTCGACCTGTCGCGATCTCAAGACGTTTGGACCCGTTTTCTGGATCGCGCGAAGGAACGATTATCGACATGTATTAAAGTTATCGGATCATCGCGTACCGATTGACACGTGAATGTCACGCGCGATCTCCAGGAGTCCGCGATATTTGGCCATCGTCCTTTGACATACTCGTTCCTGCGTTTGAATCGGTTCAAACGTCATCGCGCCATCTCACGATCGATTCGAAGCCCGCTCGAGGGTGCGTTTAAAAATTCTTCTCGTCGGATAGACTACCATTGAATCGACCAATCAGGACACAGAAGTCCTCGCTTCTGATTGGTCAATTAAAGGTTACTCTACTCCACGGATAGAATTCTTGAACGCACTTCGACTTTTGACGGTGCGTGGGTAGCGCGCTCGCGTCTACGGTTTCGCTCGCGTGGAAAGTCACGCAGCTCGGAGGTGTAGAGGACGGAAAAAAAGTTTCGTGACGTGCTTGCCCATCTATCTCTCTCTCTTTCGTCCCGTCCAACTATCTCGTTCCCTCGCGTACAGCGCATGCATTGAAATGTCCGCGTATTCGTGAGATTTGGGTCCGCGCGCGGCCATCGACGACGACGACGACGACGACGACGAAGACGAAGACGAGACCCGTTCGTTCCGCCGTCTCGTAAGGAACCCCGGGTTGGTGGTGAACAATAATGCGCATATCGGGCATGCGGAGACCGCAGTATAAGCGAGGATAGTTTAGGGTGAGTGAACGAACGGCGTCGAAATGCCGTTGCCCGACTTTCACAGCTGGTAGCCGTCGTTAGGTCGTGGCTGATTTTTCCGCGTCCCCCAAACGTGATCGGGGTGTCCAACGGTCGTCGACGAAGCGTGTTCTCATCGTTATTCGCTTAATTAACCGCATCAAACTCTCGTTAACGCGATATCGTAAGGTATAAACGCGTGATAAATTCTTATCGCGCCGAATTCTTATCGCGGCGCTTTCTCGTTCATCGAAATTTACGAAACTCTTATCGTCTCCGTATGTACATATATATATCCGTGCTACCTAGAGTCATTCTACGTGTTTAGAAGACATGTCGCAACACGCGCAAGGTACTTCCGACGCAGGAACACGTCGACAGTTTTCTCGTGTCGAAAATTTCCTCGCATTGTATAAAGACTCGCGGCTTATGACCCATTTATAATTCAAGTCCGTGTATGTATTGTTAGTAGCGTCGGTGACAAGCATTTCTCAAAACTATAGATATGCGTAATTGGGATTTATTCTCATTAAATGTTTTGATAATTATTTTTTTTTTAGGGTGAGTGAACGAACGGCGTCGAAACGCCGTTGCCCGACTTTCACAGCTGGTAGCCGTCGTTAGGTCGTGGCTGATTTTTCCGCGTCCCCCAAACGTGATCGGGGTGTCCAACGGTCGTCGACGAAGCGTGTTCTCATCGTTATTCGCTTAATTAACCGCATCAAACTCTCGTTAACGCGATATCGTAAGGTATAAACGCGTGATAAATTCTTATCGCGCCGAATTCTTATCGCGGCGCTTTCTCGTTCATCGAAATTTACGAAACTCTTATCGTCTCCGTATGTACATATATATATCCGTGCTACCTAGAGTCATTCTACGTGTTTAGAAGACATGTCGCAACACGCGCAAGGTACTTCCGACGCAGGAACACGTCGACAGTTTTCTCGTGTCGAAAATTTCCTCGCATTGTATAAAGACTCGCGGCTTATGACCCATTTATAATTCAAGTCCGTGTATGTATTGTTAGTAGCGTCGGTGACAAGCATTTCTCAAAACTATAGATATGCGTAATTGGGATTTAGCTCATTAAATGTTTTGATAATTATTTTTTTTTAGCTGGCGTAGATTCTTGCCCGTCAACAGAATCTAGAAAAATTTTGTATTCTCCGAAAATATACTTTTACTGTAATTAACTTGCTAACTGTATGCTACAAGCAAATGTAATGCTGTTAAATTGCGTAATGAAATTGTATGAGAATATATTATTATATATTGTATGCAGCTCTATTATCTTTATTGGCTCTTCATTAAAAATGTGTGCTTATGTGTATGTGTAAGTTTATATATTTTTTAATTTACAGGTCTCAAAAATTAATGTAAAACAAACCATACTGTCCTATAGATGGTACGAATGTAAGTACATTAACTTGTTTTTATACCATGAATTATATAACCAAATGAAAGGATTTATTAATTGTGTATTTAATTATATAACGACAAATTTACTATGTCATCTTTGTTCCAATTATTGTGTAGTTATTGTGCGAAGTTGACAGTGGCTAATCTCTCTGAAAACTTTGTTGTGGAGAATCTTTATTGTTGATTTTGATTATTGTTTACATACAGTGGAAAAAAATTTGTGTAATTTGGTATTATTTGTTAGCATCTCTGAAGTACTTGACAAGGGCATTCATATATTTTGATTAGGCATTCCATATGCAGCTGAGTGATCTATTCAAGACTTGGAAGGTCTGGCTTGATAAGGATTCTAAAAATACATTACACCATCACATGATTAATTATATAAATCCTCTCGCTTGATTATATATGTATATATATATATTATAGTATAGAAAATAAATTAACATAATTAACAGAATCATACCGACATGTTGAGCCATTGGCAAGATCAAAATATGCCAAAGGAGATGCAACAGCATGTTGACAATCTGGGTACGCAACCACCACAAATGTATAACGTGCCTGTCGAAGGAATCAATAAGAAACATTCCACTAATTGGTCTAATGGACAGCAGGGTATCAGCGAAATGAGTAATAAGCCCAATACCGTGTCGGATCAATGGCATAATCAAAATTGCGAGGCCGCGATGTCCCATCATCAGTCCGCGCATCTAGTACAAACGAATAATGTGAACGATACATTTAGTTCTTGGCCACAACCGGGAAATATCACGACTGCCTCGCCCAATTGGAGATATTCTAACATACAAAACGAATCTGTACATCCAAATCAACGGTTACAGCAGCAGGTGGATAACAATTCATTCAAGGAGAATATGTCACACGATAATAATAGTACTAGGTTTGCTGCAAACGAATGGCAACAAATGCAGGCAGCACCACATTATGCATTTGGTTATACAATTCATGGTGTAGAAAACAAATCGCAACAGAATTGGCAGAATCATACTGACATGTTGGGCCACTGGCAGGATCAAAATATGCCGAAGGAAATGCAGCAGCAAGTCGACAATATGGGTAATCAGTGTGCGCAACCGCCGCAAATGTATAACACGTCCTCCGAAGGAATCAAGAAACATTCCACCAACTGGTCTAATGGACAGCAGAGTATTAACGAAACGAGTAATAAGCCCAACACCATGTCGAATCAATGGCACAATCAAAATTGCGAGGCCACGGTGTCTCATCAGCCCCCGCCTCTAGTACAAACGAATAACTTAAACGATACATTTAGTTCTTGGCCACAATCGGGCAATATCACGACTGCCTCGCACGATTGGAGATATTCTAATATGCAAAGCGAATCCGTACATCCAAATCAATGGTTACAGCAGCAGGTAGATAATAATTCGTTCAAGGAGAACGTGTCGCAGGATAATAATGGTGCTAGGCTTGCCACAAACGAATGGCAAATGCAGGCGGCACCGTTCAATTACGCTCCAGTAGCTACGACTGTACCTACGACTATAGAAAGTATTGTACATACGCCCAACAATAATGAACAGCAAGAGAATGAGAAACAAGTCACGATAGCTTCATCTTACGAATCTCTTAATCTTGTGAAAGCGAGCGACATTAAACCATCGATCGGAAATCATAATTTGAACTCGGCGATTGATAATGGGCCAAAAATTGATATTTCGAAAAGTGTTCTCGGCGAGAACGATGATCGCGCTTTTGTTCCTACAGTGACAGAGGAATTATCCAGCAATTTTGGTCAACTTAATCTCGAAAACAAATCGGGGAAGCCCACAGATTATTCGGGTGAATCGTTGGAGATATATCCAAGTTCCGTGGAGGGAAAAGCTCAACACTCGGTTGCTAATTTTAATGTGGGAAGTCGTAGTAATCCTGTTCCTGACAATATACCCGTGTTGCCACCGGATTATGCGCCAAGCAGCATGGACAACATTCATTCTGCCGACAACCAGCCAGCTGTCAGTCAAGATCATCCGATACCGAATACATATCAAAATGTTACTAAAACGACGGATAGTACCTCGCAAAGCGGATATGATCAATGGTACAATCAAAGCGCGCTGCAGAACGCGTGGTACGCGAAGGATCATTCACGTCCACCCGCCAAACAAAGAAGCGCTCCGGACCAAAATGTAGAGAACTATGAAAACATTCAACAAACGTCCGACTTTGTAAACGTAGAAATCGTCGTGCCCACGACATTGCAAGAACGCGATATTTACGGCTCGCGGGATTCCATAAACAAAGAGATGTTGGATAACGATCCTAGGCCAAAAGCGAGTCCGAAAGAAGGTGTGACGAATGTACGGGGCTTTAGAGAGGAGATGAGCAACGTTGAAGTACTGTCGATGCAGCAGCAAATACGGCCGCATCCGCCTCTGCAAACGGAACAGATGCCGGATAACTACGAGTTTGCCTCGAACGACAGGAACACATTCTTGGAGACTGGCGAGTTAACGGATTCACATCAGGAACATGAACCGACGCCACCGACTCAGGATGACGAGAACGACGAAGTGCCTAACGACATCCCTTTCCTGCGCGAAGTACCAGGACAATCGAGCACCATGGATCCACGTAGAAACGATCCTACGGGTCAAGAGCATCACGTGCAGACCGGGCAACGCCTCTCCGATCCCAGGAGGAATGATCCTTCTGGTCAAGAGCAAAGTATACAAATCAGGAATATATCCGACAGAGTAGAGCGTCGCGATGTCCTTCCAGGTCAAGAGAGAAACGTTCCTCAGCTATTACGAGGCGATTCGGACACACTGGAACGACGGAATGACCCTTCGGGCAGGGAGCGTTCTCTTCCGCCGCAGCAGTCGCGAAACGATCCGTCCGGCGAGGAGAGATATCAGCCGCAGCCACAGATAATGATGGAACCGAGCGAGACTCGCGAAGTACTCGGCCGAGGCAACGAACCCGACGAAGTTGCACGACAGACTCAGGACGCGGAACTCAGACAGATACCAGGCGGAGCGTCTTCCAACGACGTTACGCAATTAATACCCGACGATAGGACGACGACGACGACCGGTGGTAGAGTAGTTACTGGTTCTCTTCCGGAGATGATCCTTTCTCCAACGATGCCGCAGGATCCGACGAGCGGCGATACGCGAAGCAAGCGCGAAGAGGCAGTGGGCGCATCTCTCGAGAGCGAGACGAGTCAAGGCGTTTCCGCTTTGCCGAATCGTCGGGATTCCTACGAGGATCAAGAGGAGGACGCGGGTTCTCGCGAAAGCCGGGACGAAAGCAGGGAGAGACGACGGGAAACCAGTCCCGATCGCCGACGATTCGAATACGACCGGAAGAATGCATATTACGATCACGATCGCGAGTACGAGGACGATTACTATTACGATCGTCGGCGCACAGGCGATAATGACCGTCAATATAACGTTCCTCGCGATGACTTTAAGCGACGGGATATTCCATATCGGGATGACGATCGTAAACACCATAGTCGCGATGACCTGGATCGATACGCTAGAGAAGACATGGATAGAAGAGTCAGAGGAAAAGAAGACTTGGATGAGAGAGATGGCAGAAGGAGACCGCAGGATGATCGTAGGAGAGAAGATCCGCGTCGTCGGGACAGAGATCCGAGAGATTACGACGCGCGGTATTCCAGAGATCCTAGGGATAAAGACTATGTGGATCGTGAGAGAAGACGGCCACGAAGATACGATCACGATTACGATATTAGAGATTCATACAGAAGAGACTATTACGATGATCTTTATGGAAGAAGGTAAATTATATGTAATCCTAGTTAATTCTTATATAGCGTCCTAAGATCAACGATCTAATTTTATTCTATTAATTATTTCGATGGAAGAAAACTTCTCGAAATCTAAATCAAACATATGAACATTATTTGACATTTTTCAGATATTACATAGCAAAAATAAATATAGTTAGATTCCAAATAATGATAAGAATAGTAGTGCTATAGTATACTTTTATGATATGCTCTCGAACTAAGCATGCTATTATCCACAAGCAAAATCAATGTTTATATATTTGATAATTTATTCGGTAGTTGAGGAATTTTTCCACTAAAAAATATACAACTTTTAATTTAATTTGTAATTTTAAAAGAATAATAATTATATCTTCTTCTATTTTATTACTATAATAATAAAATTTCTAAAATTTGGCTTATTTTTTGGGAACATTTTATGTGCCCTGATTATTATTTGATATTAGTTCATTTTTTCTTTCAGTTCTAGGCCTTCAAGTAGATCTTCCTATAATGACAAGGATCGCGAATATTATGCACGTACAAAGGACCCTTACTATGCATATAATGGTACGTATTACGATTTCAAAATAAGATATGTAATATTGTGCTTTTTATATATGTAAATAAGCATTAAATATATATTAATAGCGAATGCAAGATATGGTGGATATGATTATGGTGCTCTTTATGGTAACAATTATTACGCATATCTTGAGAATTTGCGTCAAACAAATCCTGCCGCTTATGCCGAGTGGTATCACAAATATTACACCAGCCACCAACAGCAACAGCAGCAGCATATTGCCAGAGGTGTTGGCAATTATCCAGAGGATAGAGCCAGTGTTCATTCCGGCCGTAGTTCCTGCGATGACAGGTGGGCTCTGAAACTTGTTTTTAAACCAAAAGCGATTTAAAGAGAGTTAACATTTTCGAATACTCATCTCAATACGGTTCTCTTATAACATTCGTTGTATATCAGATTTTTTCCAATCCCAAGTGCATGTTTCCACTCATCAAACATGGCATTATATATTCCGCATTTTGGGTACTCCGGATGGACCGGCAATGTGCGGGAGCATAATACAGCTTGTCGCAATTTTAATAGGTGAGACCGAGAGTCTCCTCTCGGTTCAAAAGTCTTAAGCTAGATGCATTGAAAAATCAGATTTCCCTTTTCTTTTTATTTCCCTTCCTTTATCTTTATGTAATACTTTAGTCATATATAGTTGGCTAGATATATATAAAATGTAGACTTATTCATGATTAATTATTCGAGTATATATCGTTGTAATCTAGTATGACAAAGGAGAATAATTTGTGTAACATAGTAAAAATATACAGACTCGTGTGTAATTTTATTTGCATTAAACTCGCTGTAAATTTTGGGTGGAACATGCTTATTTTGTTTGTGATTATATGCGTTGATATTCATAGTTTATATATATATATATAATATCAGTTTTACATGCAATATCAGGTGTATTCGTAATTCTTTGCTTCAAAGAAAAATAATATATATTTATTTTAGGAACACTAGTGATAAAAGAACATTGGGTGATACGCATTTGGAGGATTCAACAATCATTTCTGCTCGATTAACTCCAACCAAGTATTCTACGTCTCATGCATATGGTATATAACTTGAAATCAAATTTGTATTACATTTTTTGAAATTATTGTTTTGATATTCTTAAGACAGTTTGAAAATTTATCCGCAGGATGCTTCTCGATTGGATCTTTGGTGCATGTTCATCCAAGCTATCCAGCTGATGGTGAGAGGGCTAAGGTGAACATTTTTCGTGTAGATAACTTGCTCTCACATGATCCTATCACACGCGATTTACGATCATATCCAGGACCTTTAATTAAGTAAGTTATAATTGTATGAAAATATTATATATATATATTGTATAAAAGTAATGTGCATAATATAACAACTTTCTATTGCAGTGGCGTAACGCATAAGAAAACTATCATCGAGTATTGCGAGCATATGGTATATAACTTGAAATCAAATTTGTATTACATTTTTTGAAATTATTGTTTTGATATTCTTAAGACAGTTTGAAAATTTATCCGCAGGATGCTTCTCGATTGGATCTTTGGTGCATGTTCATCCAAGCTATCCAGCTGATGGTGAGAGGGCTAAGGTGAACATTTTTCGTGTAGATAACTTGCTCTCACATGATCCTATCACACGCGATTTACGATCATATCCAGGACCTTTAATTAAGTAAGTTATAATCGTATGAAAATATAATATAATATATATATATATATATATATATCGTATAAAAGTAATGTGCATAATATAACAACTTTTTATTGCAGTGGCGTAACGCATAAGAAAACTATCATCGAGTATTGCGAAAATAAAATTAAAAAAGCAGTGGTGAATGAAGAAATGGTCGATCGTGCTTCATATATTTTATTGTATGAATTGATGATTATGCTGATTCAACAAAACGGGGTAAGTATTTTTTATCATTTTTAAAAACTTTAGTTTACAAAAAGTTGCTTAAATATACATTAATCTTGCTTAATCTGTTCAGAACGTCGTCGGCGTTGACATCGCCGGGCTTTTACTACGTAACAAGGATGCTTATCCTCAAGATACGAGCAAACTCAGGTCTCAGGATGTAAAGCGCAGAGAATCGCAAGTATCGCAACGATCTGGGGCGACAGGTAGCGACGGAAGTACCCAGGATATTTCCGCGCTATCTGAGAAACCTGAAACCAAACAGCGGAAAACGACGGAGCAAATAACAGACGAATTTAGAGATACATTACTTTACGGGCGGATTCAAGAAGCATTAGGTATAAAAGTAGAACTTTTGTCTTCTTTGTATATCGTTCAATATTATAAATGTGTTGTTAACTAATTTCTTCTTTCTGTACTTACCTGTAACAGAGTATGCAATGAACGAAGGACTTTGGGGCCATGCTCTCTTCCTGGCTAGTAAACTAGATAAGCGCACTTACGCTTCTGTAATGACCCGTTTTGCGAACAGCCTACCACCACACGATCCTCTACAGACTTTATATCAGTTACACTCTGGCCGCGTACCTGCTGTAGTCACAGTAAGAGTCTTATTTTGATATGATATATATGCACGTATTATTTGTCGTAATATCAGTTATTTGTTTTCTTTTTCTACAGTGCGTTGCAGACCCACGTTGGGATGATTGGCGGCCTCATTTGGCTATGATTATCTCTAATACTTCAACCAATCCAGAGATTAATCGCCGGTCAATAACAACTCTCGGAGATACGTTATTCGCGAAGGGAGATATCCATGCTGCACATCTCTGTTACATTCTCGCGCAAATCGATTTTGGTACTTACGGAGGTAATGGAGTTAAGCTAGTGTTAATCGGCGCGAATCAGAACAAGCCGTATTCTGAATTTCTTACCATGGAAGCTATTATGCTAACGGAGATCTATGAATACGCTCGAAATCTTAGTGATCCGTGCTTCACATTAGTAGATCTTCAAACATTCAAGTTTGATCTAATCGTGAAAATGGTGGACTGTGGATTAATAGAAAAGGCTTTATTATATATCGAACAGATTGCAACGAATATCGCGAACGATCCGTTGAAATATAAGAAATCTTTCATTGAATCGGTTTATATACTGGGTGACCGAATCAAGTACCACGATCCGATCTATAAGGACGCTATTGAAGATGCTACGAACTTAATATGGCTCAATAAATTGGCGGAGATTATTGGAAAATATCAGGTAATTGTAATATGTTCATTTTCCAATAAAAATGATATATTTTAGATACTAAATAAAATTCTGTTATAGGGCAAGGAGACTTTCGAGAAAGAAACGTACGCTTCCCATACCATTGTGGAAAATCAAAAAATTCACGGGATAAAACAGCAATCATCGTCGCTACAACAATGGAATACTATTCAACCCGAATATGGTGACGGACCTATATCAATGATGGAAGTTAATACCAACGAAATGCAGTCCAACTGGCAGCCGCTATCTCTGCCTACAAATATTCAAGATACATACGATCCGAACGCGCAATACATGAGAAACATGGACGAATCTACTCAACATCAACAGCCGCAACAACAGGATTGGAGTCAGCAGTCATATTATCAAGACAATTATGGAAGAAATGAGACTATACCGTCTAATTGGCAGCAACAGTCTATGCCAAGCATGAACGCCGATCAAACTGAAATTAATAACTCGCAACAACTGGATAAGTGGAATTTTGAGGTACATTAAGTGCATTATTAAGGGAGAAACTTATTATTCAAACTTTTTTATTCCAAAAAAATTCATTCATCGTATATTTCTTTTCTCACATATTTGCATATATTTTTGCATATATATTTGCTTATATTTTCTCATAATTCATCTACATCGTCCCAGCATTGCACTGATTTCATTTTTTCATGAATATCTGTTCATTAGGAAAGTCGATAAAAGTATATTTTCAATTTAACTTATAATTTCTTGTACCTCTTATCTCGAAGCATTGCAATTAACATTTTTCACCTGTTTCCTGATGCTTGCTCATCGACAGACGGAAAGGGAAGACAAAACGCCCACCCCTGAAGTAAGTAATTACGGATTTATCTCGAATAATATTCTCGATCTTAAAAGATCGTCAGATGTTGCCGGTATTAGTTTGTTACGACGTCGCCGTAATGTGTCAGTGAAATCAAATCCATATGTCGCTTCTGCATTTAATGATAACGATATTACTTCCGAAAGAGAATCCACAATCTTTGATCTATCCAGCGATAATCTTGGCATTAGATCTAAAAATGTTAACAAAAAATATCCTAAATTGACTGCAAACTATCCGAAAATTCTACAAAACGACAAAATTTGTCAAAAAGATATTAGAAAAGCGAAACGCACAGATCCTATATTTTTGAAACCACCGTGCTCGCAATCACCCGTGTTCCTAAAATGTAAGATTAAGAAAAATAATCCATCAGAGGATAGAGTAGAAACAGATCTGGACAAACCGGACGAAAAGAACTTATCCGCGTCGTCACAGACCACGGATTTAGATATTCAGTTTAGCAAAATGCAACTCGAGTCTCTCGTAACATCAGATTTATCTTTCGGGGCGAAAAAGAGCCGTGAAATTTTCAACAGCGAAGTACAGACTCTAAAACAGTATTGTAACTTCGAGGAGAAGAAAGTTATGAGGGTGGCTCCTCATATTCGTAGGAAGGACGTTATTTGCGACACTGTAGACGCATGGTCGTACGACAGCATCGGTCAGAATATCTCCGATTCATCTAAATATAAACCACTAGTCTTTGGTGGCACATATCCAATCGATTTACCGCTTAGATTCAGAAACCATAATCGTTTGTCGAAAGATGCGTCCGCTAAAAAAAATATGTCTCTGACTTACGACATTGATGTTCCTACGAAATTCGATTAAAAATATCTTATAAGTTCATATAATCGTTTTTCTTTGTGTACTTTAAATACAGAAATAACATACAACTATAACATAATTATATATTAACACACACATACACACACACACACACGCACATATCTCTGGATTTTCTTGTCTAAATATATTATAATTTTTTTTTAATGTAATACTGCATAAATATTTAATAAGATAATAAAATAGGAACTGGAAGAAAAAATCACCAACAGATTTATAATAAATATATGATTGTTATTAATTCACATATTAGTCCAAAAAATTTAAATTTAATAATGTCAGTAAGTGAAAAATATTCAGACACTCTAACGATGAGCAGATCCATATAGTGTAATCAAATAGAAGTGTAAATTACTTTCTCATCGCTTTAATTACATGGTAATGTGTACTTTTACAGGATTTTAACATTATTTTAAGTGCTATTGAATGTATATAGATATATTGTTACTGTTGGCAACAAATATATAATAAAGTTTTCTCACATAATGAACTTTTCCTTGAACTTCTTGAAATTATAATTCTTCGTTATATAGTCGCATATACAGAGTGTTAAAAAGAAATTTTCAGATGTAAAGGGCATGTAATATAAAAATTTGAAAATGAGTGAAAAATGCTTAAACAATATATCAATAATGAAAAATTTAGAATTCAAAATTAGGAGCAATTTTCGATTTTGGAGAGAATGATGCAGAGAATTACTTGCTTCTATTTATTGTATGCAATGTATACGAACATAGAATTATCATGTTTTTGCTTTGGTATTTTACGTTCTTCCATTTCCAAATTCTTCACATTTTCATCTACATTTATGCGCTTCCAAACATTCTTTTATTCATTTCTATTCTATTCATATTACATCTAATGATTATCTTATTATGATTATCTATATGATTATTATGTTGTTTCGAAGTTATTATGTTGCTACTTATTATTAGATTGATATATATATATATATATAGATGGAATATGAACTAGCCTGTTTCAAATATCTTAGATAAATTTTTATAGATAATCAAATATCGTATGTAAATAGTAAGTTAAGAGATAATAATTTGTCTACATTTTACATTTATTATAATAATTAAAAACATGCAAATTATCAGAAATTGTCTGATCGTTAAGCCTGTATTACCAAAATCTAAGACTATTTTCAATTTTAACAAAATCATTTGTTCCTTGATGAGATTAAGCAACTTTTACTCATTTTAAAAACTATTACATATCTTTTATATGCTATTTATTTACATTTTGACATTCTGTTTTCTATGGATCCGATTTCCTGTATTTCGAATATCATTGTTATCATAGAGATATCATAGATAAACTTCTTAGGTAAGCAAAGTTTTTCATTTTTTTACTGTAATATATTTGTGAGTCGCATATATTTTAGTTTCAAAGTATTTCGAGTGGAGCGTTTCTCAAACTTAATATGGCATATGTTACAGGCGAACTCGCATTGTTACAGTAATTAATGATAAACTTTGCTAGAACAAGCTTACGATGATCAATCGTATATTTTATTTCAGTCAAATGTGCAGCCAGCAATCTCTATGACACCGGGGAAGCAATATGATCCGTTGGAAGAATTGGACGCGCTCGACCCATCACGAGCGAGCTCTAAATCCCCAACGGAGATGAAGAAGACAGTCGAGAAGAAACCTGTCAACAGCGGTGGCTCCTGGTTCGGTGGTTTGTTTAGTAAACTCGCGCCGAAACCGAAGAATCAAATGATACTGCCGGACGATAGTAATCCAACGGTAAGAATCTATTATCATTGTGCCCGCCTTCTCTTCTTATTTCACTAGGTAGAAGTTACGATGGACGGTTTTATGTTTTATGTCGTTAAGGGCTTGCGCGGATACTTTTGGTAATAGAATGCGCTACTCTTACAACAATGATTATAAAACGGACGATAAACAGGCCAGTATAACGCAGGATTTCTTTCTAACTATATATCGTTAACTGTAGCGACTAATTATTAATAATCATTAACATTTCCCTAATTTTGTTTGCTAGATTTTTTTTCCTAACAAATGAGAGAATATACAAATGACGAAGAGAGAGAAGTGTTATTTATAGAACGGCATTCGTTTCGATCTTTTCTCATAATCGATCCTGTTGTCTTTTGTATTGCAGATTGTGTGGGACCCTGTTGCTAAGAAGTGGATGAATAAGGATGAGGGTGGCGTCGGCGGCGCCTCGGCGTTGGTACTACCGCCGAAGACGTCTGACGTCCGTGCGCCAGCGATGGAACGCGGTGCTTCTTCGCAGCCGCCTCTGCCGAGCGGCGAGGACGCGCCGGCGATGGATGCCATTTCGAAATTGCCCATCGTTAATAGCAATATGAACAACAAATCAAAGAACAGGATTGTTGCGCGTACCAATTACCGTGCCATAGATGTGACGAAATCCGATAGGGGGAAACTCAAAGCACCTAGCACGGCGTCGTTCACCCCCATGACATCTCCGCTCGTACCTATGGCTACTTCGTCCCCGCAGCTGTTCATCCCCGCACCAAGTAAGTCGCTGAGCTTTAATTATTCTCATTGATCTCGTTGGCGCGTGAAATTCTCGTTCTTCGAGCTACAGCAGATTAGATGCTTCAAAACTCTGAAAAAATATATAACTGAGTATTAAAGGAAAATTTATTAGAAAGTAAAACGTTGCCTTTATCGCGACAGTTAACGATTCAACCGCTCCAGTGGATTTCTTGACTCCGGCAGCAACACCACCGTCTGGAAACGTCGTGGAGAATACGCCGCAAGCAGTAAGTTCTCGCAATACAAATCTACTTATTTTAAGAATACCGAACTATAATATACACATACCTATTATCGAAATATATAATTAAACAGTTAGTTTCTCACGTACATATACATATATGTCTCTCCCTTAAACTCACACAATACTTTCGTTATCCCTACGTTATGGCTGCAGTTTGCTGGTATGCAGCTTTCTCTTTCAGCGTGTCTTGAAACTGTAATGTTAACATAATTTTCCTCTGCATAACGTTTCCTCTACAGTCGTTTTATTGAATTATTTGTACACCTTATATTCGCTCCTTCGTTTTGTATACATTGTATTATATTCTCAATAGTTTCATCACAATTTCTTTGAATTAATCGTATATTTATTCAAAATTATTGTGTACAATTACATACTTAACGGAGATAAATTATGTAGATTCTCACGAGGTATTTAAACCTATGGATTACAGACTACTCCAGAGCATTGTGCAAGTCCCTTTTATTTAAATAGACAGAGGATCTAAAAGATTAATAGCGTTAATTGAAATACACACAACTCTCTATCTCTTTCTATTTTAGTGACAGTAATACCTAACTGGATCTCCACGTTGCTACAGATATTCTTTCTTTCATGTATCTCTGTTTTAATCTTACCCTTCTTTTTATGTTTCTTTATGCAAGCAGTCGGGGAAGCCGAATGATGTAGCCAAATAATAATTATTGCCGATAGTAAGGACATTCATTTTATTAATTTTACATATCATTATTTGGTGTTTTGGGCACGCACGCGCGCTTTCTTACCCACCGCTTGCGAAAATGTAACGTTCGTGTATAAAGCTTTCTTGCGTAAAAAGATCCTTAACCATGTTGCATCATGACAATAGAAATTAATTGTTAACGCTTTGTGTGATTTTAATTCACTTTGCATGTGTGAAATTATTTTATGTTACCAATTTTATTATTATATAATGTAACAAGCAGAAAGTTAGTAGGAATATGAGTAACACCTGACTGTCAATAATTTTATGTATATTTTTTATAAAATATTCCATTAATCATTTGTGTGTATTTGCATCAATCGAAGCATGAAAAGGTGTTCTTTTTAATTTGCTCAAACGTTACGCGTTTAGTACACGAAAATATAAGTCACATAATACCGATTTTTATTATATCTTTTACATTGTAAAGTAGTCTTTCCTTGATGCTTTATTAGTTCGTTAAAACGTTACGGAAAAATACAATGTAAATAATCGCGTATAAATCGGTATTATCGTTCAAAGGTATATAAGATAAGATTTAGCTAATCACCCAGCGATTTGGCGAATATTTATTAGTGAGACAACATTGTTATATGGTATATAGCTCTCTCGCTGGAGCTCGACCAGCTCGTTATCGCGAGAGGTGCAGAGCTACACAATGAGGGATCCGCGGCTTCTTCAACGGAACAAGGTAATCCAGTGACATTAACTTTCTTTGCATTTTCAAGGTAATCGTTTTTTTTAAAAATTGTTACCGCAAAATGCTAAGCTAGTACGATCTTTTCGGACTAATAAGTTTGCTCGTGGCGCCGAATATAAGACTTTTATCATATCTCTCAATGATGCTTTTATTAAAATATTAGCTTACGCTTATCAGTCACTGTCAATCACTATCCTCATAAGATCATTAATCATAATCGTAGAGACATGGGAGAGAGCTTGGTGAAGGATGTTGGGTTCAAATTCAGGTTTTAAAATAAGTTTGCTTGTCAATCAATTTCCTTTATTTTCCTGATATATTAAAGACATATATGATTGTTCTTTACTTTAGGTTATATCCTTTTTATGCTGTGTAAAAATTGTAAATGTGAAATTACATACTTCCAGTAACAGAATAAATAAAAAAAAATTATGTTTCTTTACTGCTTACATATGTACGTTACAGCTAATACAAGTAATAATTCCAAAAGAGAAATTTCAAAAATTTGGAGCGATTAGAGAAGACTTACTTTCATCTCTAATGCATTATATTATGTAACATTAATTTTTTACACGGTATAACTAATTTTATGTGCTTTAAGCTGATAATAATTTCTAGGGACCAATGATGTTCAACCCGAGTGACACGAAGGATCGTTCGGTGAAGAACATACCATCTAGCAGATATCCTCCACGATAATCTTCGCTTATGCAAATAATTTGTTATTAAAATTAGGAGATTTTTTCTTATCGTCCCGCAGTTATGTTTAATGTGGATATATATTTGTTTCTGTATAGAAAACGCGACAACAATAGTACATTCTTTAGAGTGATGCTATACACACGGTGCACAGTTCTCTTTCGAGAAAGAGTATATATATTTAAACAATATAAGAATTCAGAAGACGTCATTCTTACGATGTCCTGTACATTTCGTTGTCTAGATAAATTTTTACATTAAATTTTGTTCGAGTTTGTCTCATTGTTATATTTATCGTGTCAAATAAAAAATTGCTTTGAAAATATTCAGTAAATAAGATTTCCATACAATAGAACGATATACAATCTCAATGGTGCAATGGGAGAGATAGCAGAAATAAATAAAACTTGAATATTCGTTTTGCGATTTGTAAATTAAAAGTTTTCCCGCTTCTAAATTGAAAAAAAGAATGTGCTTTTGTTTGATAAATTTTCACGGAATGTTTCATGCAACGAATTTATTTGGAAGTTGCTGGTTTCCGCGTATAATTAGAAACGCGCATTCCCATCGAATGATTATCGCTGTATTTGCGTTATCGCGTCGAATAGGTTATTATCATGTTATGTAGAAATGCGCGAGTGCATTCCCATTATTATTGCTATATTATATATTATACTCTCTTAGCTTGTATTGTCATCCTACAATCGGATTCGATGTCATGCAAAAAATTTCAAGTTCTGTGCGTGCTGTTTGAATTATGCGAGTGAGATGTAAAGAAGTTTTTATCTATAACTTGCAATCACAGATTTAATTAAGTAACAATTGCCCTTTTCATTGAAGAGTGTCTTGTAGGTGTACGATAGATAAAGAGCGAGAATTGCATGGCACATAATTGTAGCTTAATTGCAGAATTGGTTACAATACGGCCTCGTCGGTATATGTGTTGTAATACTAAGTCTGATTTTATATATCAGGAAGAAGGTAATATTGTGTGCAGCGCCAGTGAATAAAACATGTTAGGAATATGAAAATTTTATCAATTGCAAGGGCAGGGGAGTCGCGTTTATGAGAAGTGTGTGTATAATAGAGAGAAATACTGTTATTAAATGTCAGATTATATATTATATGATATAATATTGATACACCAATAATACCGCAACTGCCATCAACGTGGATAGTGCGAAGAGTGATGAAGAGCGTTTGTATCGCGTTTCCATTGTGTTTCATTCGCGTTAGATTTATAAAATACATCCGTTGGTGTCTATCTCCGCGAGGGATTCGATAATATTAGAAGGTTGTGAGAACTCTCTCTCTCTCTCTTTGATGAGAGATGCGTAAAGAGAAAAGCATCTTAGCCAAGAAATAAGTGATTTTAACGCTTTTCCGTGTACGCTAGGAACCTTTTTATTGAAAATTAAGTATTTTAGAATATTCAATTTTCAATGAACAGGATGAAATTTACACAAGTGAAATTCTACTTACATGATTCGAGTTATCATCATTGTACGCTTCTTCCTGTCTTAATGAATACTGTCACATGAATTGTTCACGGCGAATGTGGTTCTAAAATAGTTTTATTGAAAATATCATTTTCGGCTCGCCCCGCGATTTTTCTTGTTATTAAATTTCCCCTAAAATTTTGAAATAAGAAAAATTTTCGACAGAATTCTTCGGTAGTAGTATATTTCTAGCACGTAAATGTCCGATTTTTTTTTTTTTGCCATTGATCACAATTAGAACAGACTGACAGATCTTTGTAAATTATGACTCGTAATACATTTTATAATTATGACATACGCGTATTAAATGTATCGTAAGTATGCATATGTATATACTATATATGTATACTATATATGTATATATGCACTTACGTATGAATATTTGAGAATGTCGTAACTATTATTCGTAAATATTATTCGTAAATATTATTCGTAAATTATATATGTATATACGTGAAGCCTAAGATTTGTATATATTCTAAATGTAGATTTCATAAATTTGTCCTATCGTCACATTGGAGAAATATTTATATAGAAAATTCGCTTGCTTTTTTTTTATATACCGAGACAGAAATTTAATAAACACGCTATGCTTTCGCCGAGATGAAGGAGAGTAACCAGAGCCGCTCTATTTGTGATAAATGGCAATTTATTACAACTAATATTGTCACTAGTATATGGTTAAAGAGTAACTTTCGTTGAAAATTTGCATAGCAAAACGCGCCAACGCGTGTTACACACGCTTTTAATTTTTGTACACATTTAATGTAATCGAGAATACGGGCGGAAAGATATACGTGCAATTGTATAAACGTGAGACTCAATCTTTCTTATTTTATTTTTCTTTGTATTTGCCATCCTTGTTGAAACAGTACTGCTGCACATCTTTTTTACGGCGAAATATTATTAGCATAAAACGAGTATAATTGGTCCGCCCGAGCTCGAACATTGATATATATTACGATGGAATGACTTAGGCGAGGAAAGAGAATTTTAAGATTAGCGTTAAAGTTGAACAGAAGTATTAATCGAGCTGTAATGTATGTATAGGCCGGTTTACGAACGACACGATTCGTCTTTGATGTAACATATAATATATATATATATATATATGCATATATACATTACTATTGATATTATAATAAATCAATACATCAATCAAGACGCGCGTGTGTGTGTTGCGACGATTTCTTAATAGCTACTAGGATGTATTGGGATACAAAGGGATGAATATGTATAATCGTGCTATTATTTTCGATCCTTTTATTAAGTTTATCATAATGTTTCGAATCGATACAATGATTTCTATGGTATACTCAACTGTCGTCTTTCGGGCCACAACGTCGACGATCGTCTCCCGCACACACGGACGTTATACTCTGAGATCATCACACGTGTGTATACGGAATCGGCGACGAGACAACGCGCGCGCGTCTCCGGCGTAAAGAGAGAGAGGCGCGTGTGCGCTCGTTTTCTTGACCAACACGAAGAAATCAATCCAAAAATATTATCGTTTCTGCGGCGCACAATCATCGGGACAAATTGGTCGAGTCGGACAGACGGAGGCGGATGAGATGACACGGGATAATGGGAGGGGAAAGAGGAGAAGGGCTTTTTATAAGCGACGACAGTTAACGCCGTGACACCGACGAGACACTCCGAGAGGCGAAAAAGAAAACGTAAATGCATTTTAACAATCAGTGTTTATCAGCGTGCAGCGTCGAGCAAACGACTCGACCCCCACCGGCCGTTTTTTATTATCTCTATATGTTTTGCCATTCCCTTTTTTTCTTACGCCCTTATCGCGTGCAGAAATCGGAGAAAAGGATGACGGAGAGGATGAGAAGAAACGGAGGAGACCGGGGGAGACGTGGGAGGAGAAGAGCGCGAAGGATATAAATATATAATAATATCTTATACCGCGTGTGTGTATATATCCGTAAATACGTTGAACGTTATTTCTTTCTCATCGCTCTCTCTCTTTCTCTTTCTCTCTCTCTCTCTCTCACACACACACACACTCACTCACTCTCTTTCTCGCATATCGCGCGTCCGTATTATCGATCTGTATTTCTTCTTTTTTTTTAAATTTTTTTCCTTTTCTTTTGTGTTCTCGTTTCATTTATTAAATGTTAGGTAGAGCCTATAAGGGACGCCCGGAGGCGCACTCACAGCGAACCTCGGGTGCGCTTTTCTCGTATACTAGCTGTGCCGGAACGCACTTGTACTGGTCGCACGATCGGCGAAAGATTCGGCTAAAGATAGCGTGGCCGCGTCAAGAGATCGTAGTTTATAATTTTAAACAATTATCATGAGAATCCATTTACTTACGGCTATATAGACGGTTATCAATCAATAATCACGCAATCGCGAATTAATCCGACATCGATTACGATCCGCGATCAACAGTTTTATATTGTCGCTTTATACGTTTTATTTATATATACGTAAAAAATACAAAATAGAAATAGAGATATTCGAATAAATATATTCTCTTCGGAATTATGTTACGAAAATTATATGCTGCACTCAGAATTAATCAAAAAGAAAAATTGAATTGAATATTTTGATATAAGACTTGTAGGCATGATAATAGATTGTACAAATAGCAAATCGAGATAAATGTGGAGAAAATTGCATTCGGCAGTCGATCTTTAGCCGAGCGATTCGCTCGCGACATATTATTTAACAACAGAGTTTAACCACCTAATTGTTCGGAGGATACTCATAACTCTCGTCTTGACTTTGTTTATACAATGCGAATGGGATATCCTTTTTTCTCGTTTACCTACGTATTAGGTAATAAACGATTCGTTTGCAATTCATTATTACAATCAATAAACAATAAGTGAAAAAATCATCGTGGTCTTTGATCGATAAGGTATGAACGTTTGAAAAAAAAGAAAAGTACATCTCTTCTTCCTCTCTCTCTCGAATCGACATGATAAACTTTAATAACCCTTTAATAAGAGCAGCGATACTTGTCATCGTCATAATGGTACAATTACAATGCGATTATCACAATGCGAGAACCGCTAATAATAGTAATAATCATAATATCAATGATAATAATAATAATAATAATGGCAATAATAATAATTAAGAATAAACTAAAAATTAATAATAATAATAATAATAATAATCTTCGTTATACACTAATTGCCATCGCCATTACAATGATGCACTTATGCCATTATGGTTGCCTATATACTATCCTCTTTTATATATACTTCTATATATATATATATATATAGCTACAATATATAATATTTTCGTGTTGAAAAATCGTATACATTAATGTTGTGTCGCAGGACCATTGCTTCTGTCTCTCTTTCTTTCTCGCTCATTCTCGCACCTTGTTTTTCTCTCAACGCGTCTCTTATGTATATCATACCATTCTGCTATATATTTTTTTTTGCTCCTGATGGATCGCAGAGGGATAAGGGGGGGAAAACACTGTCGTCGATGGCTGGAAGCATTCGTGTCGGTGGATTTTTCAAAGCCAAAACGAATCGCATGTTTGGAGAAAATTGCATCGGAGAACATTGATGTGGAAGAAGATCCTCTCGCAGGCCGTAAGTTTATAACATTTTACGCGTCGGTTTTAAAAAACGCAGCTCTTTGTGCCGTAAAAAATTGACAAATACGAAAATTCAGTGCTACTGGCAAGATTTGCAACATGCGGCTATCATAAAATCTGAGATGAGAGGAGGATTCGCTCTTCGCGGTTGACGTTCTCGATATTAATATAATTAACGAAAAATTAAGACAAACAAAAAAACGCATTGTATACGAATAGTATACGATGTAGAATTTCGAATTTTTACGCGCTCGATATATCTCGTTCCCAAATTTTTATTCGAGGAGCCCCTCGCTTCCGTAAAGACAGATACGCGAATGGAGCGAGCGGTATCTGAATAGCGTCGGATGGATAAATCCTGGCAGGATTGAGGGGCGAAAACACGAGTGCCTCCAGACACGAGCGCGTTATGTAACCTTAATAGCTTAATATCGATTTTTAGTTCGTATTACCCGCCGTTCAAAGGCGGGCCTCGGATCACAGATAGTGAGGTGATCGGATTGCGCGAGCGTTATCGCGATAACAATGCGGTCTCTATCGTATTTTTTTATGTTTTTTTTTCTTTCTCTCTCTCTCTTTTCTCACTCACTCTCTCTCTCTCTCTCTCTCAATCTCTCTTTTTAAATTTGTCAGTATGCGTTCTTCCTGCGTTTCTCCTAAGGATTTCAAGGCGACAGCTCCTGAAAGCAAACAGCATTCGGCCGTGTACGCGCGCAAATTCACAGTAGCATGACAAAGATCGTTCGAAAAGATTAGCAAAAGGAATCGCAGTCGAAATATAACAACATTCCGATCTGATTCTCGTGAAACTAATGTCGTTATCTATATAATAAATTAAATAAACAAATTGATTCGTTTATCCAGAGATAAATGCTGTGACTTATCGAGAGACATTTTTGAGCGACCGTATTCACGCGCGCACGTCCGATCGAGGGATATCTTTTTTCTTTTTTTTTTTTTTTTTTTTCTTCAAAATGCAATCCTTTGCTCGATTCGTTAATAACAACAGATCTCTTCTTTTTCGCCACGTAGAATGACGTGCGAGTTATACAGATACGCGCAAAAAAGTATATAGAATATATATATATATTTTTTTTTATACACATGTATATATACGTATACACAATACATATGTACCTACGTACGTACGACCAACTAAGGATAGACAGGCGCAATCATGTGTTTCGTGGCTCGAATCCGATCGATCGGCTGCGCTCGAGGGATCGCCCGTCGATGTCATAGAGAGACAGCTGATCGGTTATCTTTTCGTTATCGCTGCCAATGTCGGATTCGATGCTGTATGTTTGTGTATGTGTGTGTTATGTATGATGTATGTCGAGTAATGAAATTAACAAAGACGAAGAGAAGTAAGTGTCGGAGGAAACAAATTTTAATGAGATTACGTGCTCGATAGCATAATTAGAAAAAAAAAATATGTGGGAGGGAAGGCGAGAAGGAGAGACGGAAAGCGGCTCGTATTTTCGAGTCCGCTCGCAAATACGGTCATGCACATCAATTTTCTAACGCAATCGCGAACAGCATTTTCGCATTCCTGTAATCGAGAATGCGAGCGATTTAAAAGTTGCTCCAATAGGTTCATAACTCCGGACGACGTCAAGACGAATTTTTCAACATTATCGCTATATCAGAGATACACGTAAAAGAATAATATTATATATACTAATTTTGAAGTATATATAAGCTGTATAATATATATACAAGTATAAAATTAATTAACTCCATTAAAAATGGATCTCTTAACTTAATTCTCGTTAACAAATTGTTACTGATCTATTCACAATCGCAATGAGACGATTAATTTTCATTTCCTTTAGCATGTTTGAACCTCTTGGCGTAACGCAGTGTGTCAGATCATCATTGCACGGGATTTTGAAGCTAAACTTAAAATATAAGGGTCCGGGGCTTAAATCGTAAATCAATATAAGAGACATTCGCCAGCATTATATATAAAAAGGGTTAACATATCGAGAAAACGAGTAACAAGGCATTAAGACGTAAAGTCGCACGGAGAGAAGAGTCGTGTGTGTATACGTGTGATTTCGAAATATGACAGAGGAGTTCTGCGGATACGATGTACTTCCGCTCTTGTCACAGTGTTTCTAAAATTAATGTTTCGAAAGCTCACATTTTAAACAGAATATAATCTTAAAAAAAATATATAAAAAAAGAAACGATACAACTTCTAAATCGACAGGATCGAAGATGTTCTTGTTCGATAAAATTTTGCAAGTTTATAAGGAATCAAGTCATTTAAAAATAGCTTAAAAATTTCCATTCAGGCAGCTTTCAATTCAAGGGGTTTAGAAACAGTGTGCCTTTGTTAGCTTGTAGCAAATACCTTATGTCTGATTCGTGTACGCTCTTTC